TTTTTTTTTTTTTTTTTTTTTTTTTGGTTTTAGTTTTGAGGGTTTCCAGCTCTTTTTCTCTTTTTTCTTTTTCATTTTCTTTCAACCTTTTTTTTCAATTTCAGTTTATATTTTGGCCTTAACCATCTGTCACCTTGTTAAGCCACTGGTCAATTACCTTCTCGTGTTTAGTTATTAGAGGAAGCGTTTATTTGAATAAATTATCATAACCATGTCTGACAGACGCTCGCTCTCAAAAGATCAACACGCAACTTTCGATATTCTCGATGAGTGGTCAAGCACAATAGTTCTTGAGTCGAGGCTCCTGCAAAACAACATGTTATCTTAATTATGCGATTCTTTTGTTTCCCCGGAGCCTCGACTCGAATTGTTTGATAGGTGTGTTGATCATCACAGTGAATGAGCGATCTAAGCGAACGCTGTAAAGAAAGACTTGAAAAAATGATTTCAAGCTTCAACGGGAATTGTTTTTGTGTTTAATCACTAAACCAGAATAGGCGATTGGTCTTTTGAAAGCGAGCGTGATAATATAATTTATTCAAGCAAGATATTCATTATCCGCATCTAACGGAAAGCCACACCTATTCAAAACGGGTTGCCTGTAGAAATATTGCATAAAAAGAATAATCTAAACAAAAAGTGATACCGGAAAATAATACTTTTTTTTATTTTAAATATATAACCATCGAAGAAATATCTGTTTTTCTGTATTACTAAAATGTGACATCTTCACAAATAAAGATATCGTATAATATTTTTTACATGTGAAGATAACCCCATTGGTAAGAATTGATGATCTTCATTTTCTTCTAAATTATTTATGAAGGCTCAGTGTGATGTATTCGGGCAATATTCTTATACTCTTACAGGATTCATCCAACAGCAATGATAAAAAGATAAATTATTCACCGTGAAAAGATGAAAAAACTTACCAAGCTCATTGTTGCAGGATATTGAAGTTGGGGCTTAAATATTTGCCATACTAGGCGAGGATGAATCCTATAGGTGTTTTATTATATCGAACAAATAATTTTTGCAATAAAAAGACTAGTATAGTGCAGTAACAATACGTTTTTTAGCAATCCAATAGTTTGCTGCCCAATATCGCAAAATAAAGGATCGCAACGTGACTAAAATACGGAGATGTCATTGGAGGATTATTTGCGAGGTATAATAAACTGAACATGTTGGTTAGGCCTGTTTTACAGTAATTTAACTTCATTAAGCCTGTTTTATTATTTATAGCTACGACTAACTCTCTTTTAGAAGATTGAATATTAACTTTTTTTATATACTTTTTGTTTTCCAAATATTTTGTTTCTAGCATAATTTATTTTTATTTTCTTTCTTACTCTTATTTAATTTTAATTTATTCTACTTTTTTTTTATATTTGCTTTTTTATTCTTATTTTTTGGATTAAATATCCCTTAAATATCCTTGCTGCATAAGAGAATGAGATGCAGATAATTTTTTATGCTTTATTTATTTATTTTTTATGCTTTATTTATCTTTTTTTTTCTTTTTTTTTTTTTTTTTTTTTTTTTTTTTTTTTNTTTTTTTTGTCAAAGTGAGGGCACAGCCACCGAACTCACAGATCAATCGGGAAATTAACTCGTTATAGATTTGGGCGAAAACAGCGGATTACCCAGAGAAAAAAACCTTTCAAGGAAAAGGAAGAGACTAGCCGAGAGACTTAACAAAGTCTTAATTTCTATTCCGTAAATATACCGAAAGGCGAGATGTAGATTTTGTTTCCAACACCAGCTGTTCTGTAGACTGACAAAATTTGCAGATACTGTTTCCTATTTAAGACCACAGTTTCCTGTTTTCTTTTCAAGTTAGCCGGCGAATTCCCAGTTTCTCTTATCCGTGTCTTGATAGTCTGGATATCCAGAATCCTCTTCGGATTCGCTTTCTTTTTCAAATGTTTTAACTCCTTTTATCGCAAAAGAATGGTAGCAAAGGGACTAGCAAGGGTCATGAAGCGTCAAAAATAAAATTTCTTCTTTCACCTCGGGTATGATCGCGGTTTGGAATGCTGCACCATATGTGAATAGAGCTTGTTTGATGTTTTGTTTTCTAGATTTTTTTACGTTGTTCTCTACCTTGCCACGAGGATTTTTCTTTGGGTTTTCCAATTTCCTCCCCCCGTAAAACACTACATGTGAGATGACATCGAGAAACAGTAAGGAAAATTGAGAAAACTCTAGTTTCGCATTCGAAGCATACTGTTGTTTAAGAAGACCACAGTCTTATTTGCACAAGCTGAGCCTTGTTTATAAGTCAGCTATCCACAGATACCATTCTGTACATCCTATTTTACCCTGGCCATAATGTTATCCTATTCCAAACCTTATGGAAATATGACATTTTTTGCTTATCAAAGGGAAAACATTAAATACACCGTGACTAATATACTGTTGCATAAAAATAGAGGTATGCGGTGATCGCATATGGAACGCAAGATGCGCTCGTATGAAGAATCAGGGACATTGTAACAATCATGAAACAATCGACGAGATGAAAATGAACTGTGCGTGGACGTGTGGATACTGTGGTAAGTACTTCCTACTCGGGCTTCCTGTGGATGACCGAGGTAGAAAAGCGAACCGGCATTAAGCCAATTCTCATGAAAATTAAAGCCTTAATCGCTTGAACGTGGGGTTAGTCGGCCAAAAATATTATTGGAAGTACAAACCTTAATATCTTCAAGATGCTTCAATCTAATCATACAAAAATATGTTATCATTTTATACATAATTACCCTGCGAGCAGAGTCTCCTTTTAACTCCTCTCGCCCGTAGAGGAGTTAAAAGGAGACTCTGCTCGCAGGGTAATATATAATTCACTTAATGTAGAATCAGTACTCAAATATTGAGGTATGTGTCATAGTGTCACGAGGGGAAGTGGGGGAATATTACTTCCCTTTCAGACACATAGTATTTCTTTTTCCTTTTGTTTTTGTTTTTCCTTTTGTGTATTTCGATTGCGACTACGAACAACTGCTTCAGTAGAACAACTAAGAACAATTAGGAACAACTAAAAACGAATAACGACTAAATTCTGTGCTGCATGCACTTAAATAGTAGTGATAATATCAATGAGATGACATCAAGCAGAAGCTTTGCTGATATCTCTTACAATCATTTCTATTGGCTAGCTATAAGTAAGCATATTTATGAGCTAGTTCCCAATTCCCTAAGAAGAATAGGTCATTTCACGGATCCCGTTACTCAACCTCAGCCTCGTCAGTGTGTAATAGATTCTTTAGAAATTGCCTACAACCTGTGAAATTCTAAGTGTTTCAATTGTTCGTTGATGTGTAAATTCCTTTCATTACTGCGGACTGTATTCAAATTCTAAAGAATAATTACACGCTGAGGAGGCTGAGGTTGAACTATCCTAAAATTACAACAATTATATTACATGAAATCGTTTAGCAACTTAACAGTTACTAGATTACATAGTTACCTAGCAGGTACTAAAATAATATTTAACAATTAATCGAAATTAACAGAGATTTCTCTCCTACAAGGTGGGCGGGGCTATCAGTCGATTACTGACAGCGCTCAGTTAAATAAGATTCAGCAAGACTGGGATAAGCACCTCCCAATCGTTACTTGAAAATAACTAGAATTAATCTTACAAACATTATTGCTAATTATTTGGTTGTTTTTCCTATGCTCCCTTTTCGGCCATTTAATCGGCGAGATGTCATTCACAGACTCTCTGGCGTTCACTGAGCCACGAATGGTTTTTTTCTCGTATGCATGATTGGTTTCGATAATTACCTTTCATCAATAGGCAATTAAATACAACCAACATGGCCGCCATGCTTTTATCTCTTGATCTTTTGCGAATTTTACAAATTATCGCAATCTTTTTGATTAATATTCAATTGATTGATGATACTTAAATTTCTAGATGCCGAGAAAGGTTCTGACGACAAGCTTATTGAAGAAACAGAGCAGGAGCAGGAGCAGGAGCAGGAGCAGGAGCAGGAGCAGGAGCAGGAGCAGGAGCAGGAGCAGCAAAATAAGGGTATTCTTCTAGATGCCATTCCTTTTTGAAACTTCAAATGGATTTTTTACTGCACCGAGTGCCATTTCCACATTAGTGTAGCACAGCTACTTTCTCTTGTTCAGCCCACAAATTTGTTTTTTTTTTTCTGTTTTTATCTTTTGCAGAGGAAGAAACCAAAGGAAATACTGTTCCAAGTTCACAAACAAACGCTCGTAAGTTTCTCCTCTGCAAAATCTTACATGCTAAATTCCGATTTCATCTGCGAGGCACCCGAGTTTGCAGTTTAAATATATCAGCCCAGGTCTACCTTGGTACAAATTCAATGTTCTCCAAACAGCATAGCCTTGACATGACAAGATATTGCAGAAGTAGATCTTGATTTTACTTTTCCGCAACGTTGCTAGTAATGTTTACGTTAAAACGTAACATTACAGTGGCGTCTTTACGTGGAGCAATGCAAGTTTGCTTGAGCTTCACTGGTCATTTGATAGAATCATGTCGACGTCCTTTAGGAAAGCTTCTTTCACTAAATATTTTTCATCGTTTCCATAGCAACATGTGGTCGTTCAATTGTTGCTTCTTCCCGCGTCATCGCCGGCACAGATGCATCACTAGGGGAGTGGCCATGGCAGGCCTGGTTACACATTAAAGAGACTGGTTTTACCTGCGGAGGTTCGCTCATTGCACCGAGATGGGTACTGACCGCTGCTCATTGTATACTAGAACCCGAGCCCGCGATGTACCGTGTGTATTTAGGTGACGTCAAACATAATAAAAAGGAGGGTTCGGAGCAGATTTTTGAGGTTGATAAGATAATTGTACATGAGAATTATGACAAACCTGTTCCTATAAACAACGATGTCACTTTGCTCAAACTGTCAAAACCAGCCAGGATCAACGCATTGGTGAACACGGTTTGTCTGCCGAGTCCTCATGAAATGGTACCACTTAAGACCAAGTGCTATATCACAGGTGAGTTAGCATTAAACTGTTCCCTGTTTTAACAGGGTAGCACTTCATATTCAATAGCTAACAAACCGCTTCTCACCCTCATTCCATGATCGAGTTGGAATTTCAGAAATTAATTTTTGAGAAAAGAGGAAAACTCTCAAAGCACAGAAGGGGACAAACAAGTAACTTTGTCAACATGATGGCGGGTCTCAGTCACAGAACTTACCTTTTATTGTATAAAACAGATTGCAAGATACTGCAATTTTTTTTCGATTGTGATGTAAGATTTTTTGTCTATTAAGTAAACCTTTTGCTGTTCATTAACAG